AGTTTCGAGCCGTTTTGGCCCAGGCCGCTCGCAGGTCCCCGTTTTCTGCCCCCGCACGGCCGCCGGCAGGACCATGCTTGCTGGCCGCACAGCGCAGCAGCTCCTCGCGCGGAGGCCGGCGGCGTGCGGCGCGCTGGCGCAGCGCTCCAAGGCCGCCCTGTCCGGCGCGTGGCTCGAGGGCCCGAGGAAGCTGGAGACCGACCTCGTGCACGCGGCAGTGAGCCCCGAGCCGGCCTCCGGCGCCGTGCTGACGCCGCTGTTCTTGTCCACCACTTTCGTGCAGGAGTCGGTGGACAAGTATCTGGCCAAGGGCTACAGCTACTCCCGCACCAACAACCCGACGGTGAGCGTGCTGGAGTCGAAGCTGGCGCAGGTCGAGGGAGGCGCGGGCGCCAGCGCGTTCGGCACGGGCATGGCGGCCACCACCAGTGCCATCTGCGCCACCATGAAGGCTGGGGACCACTGCGTGATCACCGATTGCTCGTACGGTGGGACTAATCGTTCCTGTCGGGAGTTCTTCACCCCTCTGGGGATGGAGTTCACCTTCTGTGACTTCCGCGACCTGGATGTTATCAAGAAAGCCATGAAGCCGAACACAAAGCTGGTTTTCAGCGAGACCCCGGCGAACCCGGTGCTGTCCTTGTGCGACCTCGAGGAGATCTCTAAGATCGCAAAGGCTGGGGGGGCCAAGCACGTCGTGGACGCCACTTTCGCAACCCCCGTCATGTGCAGGCCTCTCGACCACGGTGCAGACATGGTGATCCAGAGCCTGACCAAGTATTACGAGGGCCACAACATGATGACGGGGGGCGCGGTCATCTCCAAGGACAAGGAGATGGCAGACAAGGTCAAGTGGGTCCAGAACGTCCATGGCAATATCATCAACCCGTTCGCTGCTTTCATCATACTGCAAACCACCAAGACGATGGCAGTCCGCGTGAAGCAGCAGAGCAAGACGGCGATGGCGATCGCCACTTTCCTGGAGCAGCACCCCAAGGTCACCAAGGTCGTGTACCCTGGGCTGGCTTCTCATCCCCAGAAGGCCCTCGCTGACAAGTACCACAGGGACGGGATCCACGGAGGCATGCTGTGGTTCGACGTGCAGGGCGGATCCGAGGCGGCGATTAAGCTCATGGATTCGATCGCGAGGCCGTGGAGCCTTTGCGAGAATTTGGGAGCGACGGAGAGCATCATCACCGCGTGTGCCGTTATGACGCACGCTAACATGCTGAAGGAAGACCGTCTGAAGGTTGGCATCACCGATGGCTTCATCCGAGTATCCTGTGGTATCGAAGACACTGGTGACCTCATCCAGGCTCTCGAGGCTGCCTTGCAGAACTGCTGAGTTCGTCTATGCCCTCGCATCTCTGTTTGTCGGGCTGCACCTGCCTTTCTGTATGCCAGTAATATGGCAGCCCATCCGAAGCCAAGGGTGGAGGTGCACTTGGAGGAGGAGGAGGAGGAGGAGGAGGAGGAGGAGGAGGAGGAAGAGGAGGAGGAGGAGGAGGAGGATGAGGGAGAAGGAGGAGGAGGTTGACGAGGAGGAGGAGGAGGAGGGAGGAGGAGGAGGAGGGAGGAGGAGGAGGAGGAGGAGGAGGAGGAGGTTGACGAGGAGGAGGAGGAGGAGGAGGAGGAGGAGGAGGAGGAGGAGGAGGAGGAGGAGGAGGAGGCTGGCGTTCTCCTGAGCAGCTTGTCTGGGAGGCTCCCGCCTGCCTGCCCTGCGGGCCAGCCGTGGGGCCCCGCCGGCTCTGAAAGCGGTGCTCCGTGGCCCGTGGTCTCTCGCACGGGCTTCCGTACGGTCTCTCGTGCGGTCTCTCTGCGTATGGTCTCCCGCGTCGATGGTCTCTCCCGTGTACACCCTAGGCGATGCTTAAGAAAACCCAAATTTTCGGCCAGAGTCTCGATTATTCTTAATGTTTCAATGTGAATCCCAAGATTTGAATAGACATTCTGGGTTTTCGTTCAGATTCTGAGACTGTGAATTTCTTAATCCATGATTTCTAAAGCATTTCGCAGGGTGTATGGTCTCCCGTGCGGTCTCCTTCTGCTCGTGGTCGCTTCTGAGGTCTCCCCCGTGCGGTTTCCCTCGTGGTCTCCCGCAGGGTCTCCCCTGGTCTCCCGCACCGTGTCCCGTGTGGTCTGCGGTATGATCTCACATGATCTCCGGCATGGTCTTCCGCATCGTCGCCGTGGTACTTTTTGATCATGGTCTCCGTTGTGGTTTTCCTCAGGGTCTCCTTTGTGGTGTCCCCTGTGGTTCCCTTCTGGTTTCCCGCATGGTCTCCGTATGGTCTCCTTTGCCTGTGGTCTCTTCGAAGGGTTCCTGTAAGGCTTTCCTGATGGTCTCCCTTATGGCTGCTCTCCTCTTTCTGTCGTACTCTCTGTAGTGATCTATTGCGTGCTCAGAAGAGCTGTTTAGGGGACTCTAGAGCCGCCACGGGTGTAATTGAATTTTGGCCCCGTCTGTGCCGCGACGTGATGGTGCTGGAGGAAACGTGCCTCCTCCTCCCCTCTCTCCTCTTCCTGCTCCCCCCTTCTTCTCCCCTCCCCTCCCTCCACCTCCTCATCTTCCTCTCTGTTCTCTTCCATCTTTCTCCTCTCTCCTCCTCTCTCTTCCTTCTCGTCCTCTCTTCTCCGTTCTTCCTCCTCCTCTTAGTGTTCCTTGTCCTGCCTCCCCCTCCTCCTTCTCCCCAACTCCGTCTCCCTTGTCCTCCCCGTCTCTTCCTCCAGTGTTCTCCCGTTCCTTCCCCTGCATTGTAGTCAGTACAGTCTGTGCGACCACTGTGTTTTGGTGTAGGATTGCTGTCATGTTCTTCCCACTTGAGACATTGCTTAAGGGGACCTGCCGCGTCTTCTGTGCAATAGGGCCTGTGAAACTGTCAATCCCCATTCCAGCTGGGATGTCCGTCCCCTGTCCTTTTCTTAAAGTAAGCAGCGGTCGATTTCAAACCAATGTAATACAAAACAATATCAATGACATGTACTAGCGTTTCCAATATTCGCAAACAGGCACAGAAGGTATTGCTTTGCCTTGCTTTGCTTTGCATTGGTTCTGGGGAGTATCTGGACCGTCTTGGGCGCCACTGTATCAGGGCTATCTTGAGCAGTATCTGGAGTGAGTCTCTCTGGGCTTTTTTTGGTCCCCTCTCGGCTATCTCGGGGGCCTCTTGGGGCTCTCTTGGGCCCTCTTGGGGCTCGACTGGGCCTCTCTTGAGCTCTCTCGGGGCTCTCTTGTGGCTGTCTGGGGCTGTCTGCGGGGCTTCTGGGTCCCCTCGTTTGGTTCTCTTAGCTCCTCTTCGACTGCTCCGAGGTTCTCATGAGGTCATCTTGAGCAGAGTGGCCTGGGAGACGCGCAGTCTTCAATCACCTCAAGACTTCCATATGTTTTGAGTGATGCTGGCCGTCCTGTAGGGCCTCGTGGCCTTCTGCCTGCTGTGGTGGAAGTCTCATGGAGCCCCTTCGGCGCCCCGTCGCTGGGAGCCGCAGATGGCCTTCGCCAGTTCCGGGGCAGCGCCGGGGCAGCCCGGCGGAGCCTCGAGAGCGGGGGACGATGCTCTTGCTGCTCGTCGGGGGCGGGAGACATCTCCATATCCGAACGAGCGAACGAACTAGCGCCTCCGTGGACAGGTCTCCGGGGGCGAGCAGGTGGCACATAGGCCACGAAAGCAATGGCGTCCGCTCTGACCACCGCCCCCTCTTTCAAACGAAAAACGAGGGGGGCGGCCCTACAGGCCTCTCACGCTCTCCGACCAACATCTCCATGTCCACGGGCGCGCGGTTTAGACTCCTCGGCGGCGACCCCATCGATGCGGGGGCCGATGCGCTTGCCACCCTCTCTGGTGATCAGGGGCAACGCTCGTGAGGGGAGGCTGGGCTCGAAGGGGAGGCATCGACCCCCAATCGCCCAGTCCTCGCCGATGGGGCCCGATAGCCCACTCCGCCCAGGATCGTACGGAGTCGCTCTCGGGGTCCTATCGCCGATCTGTCGGCGATGTATCGCCGATTCTAGCTCGATGTTCCTCCCCCCCTCCCTCCCCCTGAGCCAGTCCCGCCCCCCCGAACGCTCCCCCTCCCACGAGAGGGGGGGCCGCTGCCTTTGCCACTCTCTGGGGAGAGGGGGGCGGGGGGCGCCCCTGAGAAGTCCTACAGAGAACTCACCAGGCAGCCCTCTGCAGCCTGCCGCGCCTCAACGGGACCGGGAGACACGGCGGCGGATGCGCAGAAGCCTTGGCCGCTGGGCCGTGCGGAGGCCCAGCTCGTGCGTGGAGCCCTGCCTGCGCGCGGCCCCGCGCGTGGAGCCCCCCTGCACGGGGCCCTCTGCGTGGAGCCCTCTGTGCGTGGGGCCCCGTGCTGGGACCTGCCCAGGTTGGCTCTCCGCTGCCTGTCGCGCCTCCCCCCCTTTCTCGGTGGTGCCGCCGCGAGCGGCCCGTCGCTGCGCCTCGCTCGTCGTCGCGCACTGCGCGCTGCGCGTGCTCGGCCTCCTCTCGCCCCCTGCCCCTGTCTCTCCCCCCTGCCCCTCGCGGCCCACCCGCGAGTGACCTGGCCGATCCCCCCTTGGGCGGGCGCCGGTCCCCGCGTCGCGCGAGCTGGGCCGGCCGCGCGCGTGTGTCCGCGAAGCTTTCTCCGCCGCGAAACGCCGCGCGCCATTGGCCGCGGCGCCAAAGCAAAGCGTGGAACCTTGTGTGTGTGTGTGTATGTGTGGAGGGTCCTGCCCTGGGTGTGTTTGTGTGTCGTGTGTAATCCCATGTGTGGAAGTCTCCGTGATTCAGCCCAGTGCGCGCGGGGAACCTTGCTGTGTGGAACTCTTGCGCAGCCTTTGGCTCGAGTCATCCTGGTTCAGGCCTTCTCTGAGTTCACCTTGCGTTGCAACGTTGTTTCTCTCTCTCTCTCTCTCGCGTTGTAGCCTTGCGTCTCTCTTTCTTTTTACCTCTTTCTCTCCGTCTGTCTACCTTTTTTGCGTGTGTCTTTCTCTCTCTCTCTCTCTTTCTATATGTGGGGCCGAGCGATCTTACACCACCCTTGGGCGCTTGCCTGAAATGGGCTTCCGCGGTGAGGATTATTTGTTGCTGTTCGTTGTTTGCTGTTTGTTTGTTTGTTTGTTTTTTGTTCGTTGTTGTCATCGGTCCCTCGCCCGCGACCCGCCCGTGACCTACCCGCGACCCGCCCGCGACCCATCCGCGACCCACCCGCAACCCGCGTGCGATCCGCCCGCGACTTACATGCGACCCACCCACTATCCACCCGCGAGCCATCCCCAAGGCTTTGACGAAAGTTCGGCGCTTGCGGCGAGCTCGTTGTGTCATGTGCAGGGTGTAGGGCTGCTTCAGAGCCTCGCAGACTGCCGACGACCCCGCCCGCCCCCTCGCTCTTACCCGCAACTGCGTTGGAGATGGTGCAGGTGTATACATTCATGCACATGTCTATAGGTATATATGGTTTTCGAGGTAACATATGCATGCAGGTGCGTGCCTTTGTGTACAATATATGTGGCCTTAGGCGCTCAAGCCTTCAAGCTTGCTCGGCCATCCTTGTGTCTCCGACATGGGTCTCCACCTTCCCCAACTCTCGAAGTAAGACATTTCTTCTGTGAGGGCAGCGGGCGTTGCAGCTCACCAGGATATCTAAAGGGGCCTGGTGCTGGTACGCAGAGTTGCAGCTAGATGACCTGGGCACATTGTGCTTCATTGTGGCTTGCGCATGCGGGATTGCCAGATGTTCTGGAGAACAGATCCTGGAAGCTAGTCCGTTGAGCGAAAAGCTGCATGTGAAACGGCTCTGGCGGGTTGCAACGCTCTTGAGGCAGATGGTGGTGCGGCGCAGACTGAGCGGGCGTCAGACGAGGAAGCGTTGCTGCGCAGGCTCGGCAGCATTCGCGTCTCCGAGCTCAAGCGAGTGCCGTTGAGTTTCAGTGGCGCGTGCTGCTCTCGCCCGGCCACAGGGGAGGGAGGGAGGGGGGGCGGGAGGAGGGCGGCAGGGGAGAACAGGAGGCAGGAGGTAGCAGGGAGCGAAGAGGAAGGGGGGGAGGAAGAGTCGAGTGGAGCGGGGGGCAGGAGGGAAAGAGTCGAGTGGAGCAGGAATAGTCGAGTGGAGCGGGGGGGGGAGGAGGAAGAGTCGAGTGGAGCAGGCGGGAGGCAGGAGGGAAGGGGAGGAGGAAGAGTCGAGTGGAGCGGGGGTAAGCGCGCCGCTGGCGAGGCGAAGCTCTGGCGAAAGGCGACTCGCTTTCCTCGCGCCCACTTCTGCGCTTTGACCCCGGGAGGCCGACCTCACCCCAGAGGAGGCCCTCGACCTCCTGATGCTGGCAGAGGAGTTTCACCCCTCCTCCTACTGATCATGCGCCCCCCCCCACGACTCCTCCTTCTTCTCCCATCCTCCTGCTCCTTCCCCTGCTCCCCGCCCCCCTCCTCCTCTTCCTGCTTCCTGCTGCTGCTGGTCCTCATCCTCTTCCTCTGGCTCTTCCCTCTCATTTCCCTTCCCCCCTGCTCCTCTTCCCCTCCTCCCGCTTCTTCTCCTGCTCACCATCCTCCCCATTCCCCGTGCCCTCGCCGTCGTCCCCGCGCTCGCCGTCGTCCTCCCCCCGACGCCGCGGCACAGGAGCTTCACGTCAAGGCGCTGGACGAGGACGACGTCGCGCCGCAGCTGAAGGACCGCCCGGCGGCCAGCTTTCCCGGGGGGGCCTCGCGGGATGTCCCGAAAGGCCCCGCGCTCCTCGCGCTGCCCCCGCGGCGCGGCGGCCCTGCTCGAGTGCAGCGTCTGGCTGGGCCCGCCGCGCGTGTCCCCAGGGCCCTTTCGAAAGCAGTACGCTGCTAGCTTTAAGTCGGGCATGTCCCCCTACAGGAGGAATGTTTTAAAGAGATCGTCGGGGCACGATTTTGGGACTATGTTTGACTATCTTGGAGCATTTGTTGAGAGTATTCATTTCTGATTTTTCGTCCCAGGTCCGCCTGTAGTAGGGCATGCCCGACCCAGCGCTAACTTTGACCTTGAGAGCTCCACCTGGGGAGAACGAAGAGCGGAGAATGCTTCGGCCCACGGCTGCAAGTCGGAGGCCCCCGCAGAGCGGGCCTGCCCCGCTCAGGGCCTCGTCTTGGACAAGGTGCTCGGCCGTCTTCGGCCTGTGCGGTCGCCGTCGCCGCCTTCGGTCGTAGTCAATCAACGTAGTCATCGTCGTCGTCATCGTCGTCGCCGTCGTCGTCGTCGTCGTCGCCGTCATCGTCATCGTCACCATTAACATCATAAACTTACTCACCACCACCATCACCATTACTATCACCACCATCATCATCATCATCTGCAGCAGCATCATCAACATTGTCATTATTATCATCATCATCATGATCGTCATTATCATCATCGCCATCACCATCATCATCACCATCACCATCACCATCACCATCACCACCACCATCACCACCAAGACCAACACCATCATCATCATCATCATCATCATCATCATCATCATCATCAACATCGCCATCATCACCACCATCATCATCATCACAATCGTTACCATCATTATTACCATCACCATCACCATCACCATCATTATCATCCTCATCCTCATCCGCAACCTCATCCTCATCCTCAATACCATCCTTATCCTCATCCTCATCCGCCTCGTCATCTTCATTATCATCTTTGTCATCCTTCTCTTCATCATCACCACGAGCACCGTGATCATCATTATCATCGTTGTTATTATTATCATCGTCACCATCACCATCATCATGTTCATCACCATCATCATCTGATTCCCATCGTCAGTATCGTCATCCCCATTACCATCGTCGCCATCGTCGTTCTCCTGCTCCTCCTCCTCCTCATCATCATCATCACCATCGTACAAGTCATCGTCATCACCATCATGATCATCAGCATCATCGTCATTATCATTATTATCATCACCATCACCAGCATCAGCATCAGCATCAGCATCAGC